AAAAAATATACTTGAAAAATCAACCAAAGTGTACAAAACAAATACAATTCATAAATAAAACAACTAGAATTTTCCAAATATCAACAATTCTTGAAACCAAAAAAAAAATATAATGTGCTGTGTAATATACCTAGTTAATAATTGTTGTCATATATAATTATAGGTAATCATCAACTGGGCAGAGTAACAAAACACTGTCATTAACATTTATAAAAAATAAAAACAGATAGTATCTCTACATTTAACTATTATAAAGGTCAAACACATATTCATAGTTACTTTTATACATAGTAGCTCTTTTCTACGTCATAATATAAGTGCAGGTACATTTTTACGAGTTCCGAGTTATGGCATAATTATATTTAATTATTATTTCCATTACTACTATTTAGTATTTAGGTAAGGGCTGGGCCGTATAAAACCGTATTTTTAAAAAATATAATATTATACATTTATACCATAAGACCTATAACCTACGATTGTGTTCTTACAGCCAGGTAGGCATTTTTATTTAATTTTATACATTGAGAAACATCTACTATATTTTTACGACATTTAAATACCTTTAATATTAAATCGAACCGAAATTGGTGGATACAAGTTCCATAATAAAATCATAATATTTATTTTAAATGCTGTCTTTCAAACATATTAAAAAGGTATCATAACAATGTATTTCAATCACACAATATTTAATACACACATTATATAGTCAATGATAAATAAGACAATGAAAACAATTGTTGTCCCTTATTATTTGTCGAAAAGCAACGATGGATATTAACGAGTTAAAAGTTATATTATTTTCACAAAACTTCTCTTTTCTCCTTAACTAGATAAAAAATCGTTTGTCACAACTTAGCATTTTTCCAGTTAATTTAAAAAATAATATATTATGTTATAACTATTTAATTAATTTTTTTTTCCCCAAACAATAATCTATACCCATTATCCAGCTAAAACTTAACATTCTTAATGTCAACTTAACTAACTTGTATAAATAATTTGAGTAAGTACATCTATTGATACCACGTATTATGTCAGTTTTATTTCTTGATATTGTTAGCAAAGGTAATGAATTTAATACAACTTAAAAGTTAAAGCTATTGATACAAGTATTAGATTTCCCTAATTTTTTGGAAGTAAATAATATTATGTTCTTCGTCAACAATCGTATTATATATAATATGCGTCTACATTTAAAAATCAATTAAATATCGGATAATTAAATAAGTACAATGTCTGGTGATGGCATACTAATGTTAACTAAACATTTTAACTCATCACAACAGTCAACAAGGAATGTGAGTAATATACTATATTTATGATATATCGATTTTATGTTACATACATCGGTATCCTAATAAAGTTGACAGCACAATCTTGGCAGGTATACTTTCATATATATCCAAGGTTAAGATAAGTTGGCAGGTTGTTGGACATTGTCACAATATTATTAAATGTAGGTAATTAGATTCTATTCTCGACACTAGGGCACTTTTTAGTTTTCACTGCTTTATTTAGGTGTATGTAAAAGTTATTAAAAAATAAAGGTTAGTTTATTTTATTCTTTTGAAATGTTGTAATAATAATTAAAAAAGATTGTTCTTGCACTCTTTTGCAATATTAAGTTTTAAAAATATCAATGAATTTCATTATAATACAATGATTCAAAAATTAATTTATATTGGTATATTATAATTGATAATAAATACAAATACATATATTTATTTTTGTAAATTATATACAACGTATAACATAATGATCTGATAAATAAAATAATTTTTGGAAAAACGTTAATAGTAAAAGCGTTTACTAATCAAGTAGCTTCTTTCTTACGATTTTTTATTACATCGATCATTTTTTTTTTTATATACACATTAATTCGAGAAGTAATAACTGTTTTCTCAATATTCTTTTTGGGAATTTGCAGGCGTGAAAAAAATGTTTAATTATTTATCATCCATATAATTTACTTTTATTTTTTCATATTTTAATTATCATCAAATTTTAATTTTGCATTTGTCAGATATTTCTGTTATATATTGTATATTTATAAATGTATAACGGTATCGTGATTAAAAGTTAAAAACAGCTTTACGAATATTCATCGTAAAATACACTATTAACGGAAAAAAAAATATATATTGGCCAGAATTACCTTTAGTAAACGATTTTCGAACATTTAAACTGAGTATATATATATATCGCGCAAACGCCCCACATCACTTCTGGATGTAACTAATTTGTACGGTCAATACTAACAACTTACAACGTTCTGATCAACCTTTTAAAGTTTCTTTCCGTTGTAAAATAGAGACAATAAGAAGTGATTAGTCTCACATTTAGGTTAGGGGTTGTTAAAATTTTAGTCTCATCTTAATGTTCATTACATTCAATAGTCTAATGGTTTTGTGATTTTATATTAGTTCTTATTTTATTTTTGAAGTATAGGTACATATTTTAAATGTTTAACCACCATGCCGTTATAACAATATCGTCATGTATACTCGAGCACAATATTCTTTGTTCATAAGACACTAATGTCATAATTTATTATATTATATTATCTAGGTATGTAATAGCTGCGTATTTTAAATTTATGGCCAACTTTTGAAATTTATCAAATAATAATATGAAAATATTTAATCATATGCTCGTAGTAAAAGTATTATGTTATTATTATTATTATTATTATTATGTTTTATGGATTTCATATTACATTTATAACCATTATAGTTACAAACCATTATAGGTTAGTTTCCGGGGTTTTTGATTGGAGGACTGCACACTTTTTTCTTGAATCTTAGGTTAAGGTTAGAAGGGATTCAAGGGATCCCCAATACACAACTAACAAAAATAATTCAGGAAATTGTTTTTATCAATATGAATTTTCAAATTGTTTTTACTTTAGTCTAATTACTAGCTATTTTATTTAATTTACCCTCAAAAACGGTAACCGTCATTGAGTACCTAATTAGTACTGTTAGTAGAAATGGACTTCAATACAAATTATTGAACTCTTTATAGTATAGAATACACTGATAAATGAAAAACCCACCTATTAGACATACTTAAGCTCCATCATTGGCCACGCCACTGAGTTCAACTTAACATTTTATTCCTTTGCTTTATTTATATTTGCATGTTATCGGTGGTCAGTCGTTGTCGTTATCGTCTACAGTGTTTCGTGACTGTCATGCCGACATTTATTTATTCACCTATATAATTGATTCGGAACATAGGTATAAGTATTTCACCCAACTATTTCAAACTTCATATGAGGGATTTGAACCAAATGTATAATTTTAGGTTGGCATGCTTATAGTGATATACATGAGCAGTGAAAAATCACTTATTCGCTTAGTTACAAAAATTAAATTTTAGGTTGAATGAACGATATTACAAACAACGATTTGTTGAATCACGCCACGTATCTATTCAATGTTTCTGGCCTAAAAAAAAACATGAATTTATATTAAAATAACTTATAGATCACACAGTTATAGTAGTGGTCAATAGTAGTGGTTACTCATTTGCACAAGACAAATGCCCAATAAATTTGTGGGGTATGAGAATAATTAATGATACAAAGTATATCCTACTTACCTATAGTTCGATGTACAAGGGATTACAAAAATTTAAGTTTCCAGCATTTTCTGGACAACAGCCAAGATAATTTAAACTGAAACAGTTAATTAACTCTTTTTTTTTATTTTCCAATGATTTTAGTTGAGGCGACTTTAATAAGACAACATCACAATGAAGCATTTGAGAATTCGTGCACATTCAAAATAATTACTTCACAATTCTATGAAAACCCATTTTGTACACTTACAACTCGGTGTTTAGACACTAAAAACGTCAATTCCTCCAAATAATAGAGCAATAACCCAAACCCACTTATCCCGTTACGTTATAATGGATAAATAAATAACAATTTTAGACTTTTAGACTTTAGTGCATTGAAATCAGTAAACGTAATATGTGCATTATTATTTATTGCTTTAAAAATATTCAAGTAATAAAATGTTTTTAATTACTAGGTGCATTAATTATGACTTATTCATACAACCAAGATACATACATAGAAAATAGATAGGATGATAAATTTCTAAACAACAAAAATTATGCAAGCTATGAAATGTAATGTAAAAGATCAAGCCATGATACGTTTATTATAGCTACCTACTCTATAGTCTGTATAGGTTGTCTAAATAAACACTCTTTTACATCGTAAGGACTAAGTTTGTATGAAACAAAGTTGAAATAAAATTTTTTCAACCAAGTGGAAAATATGATTTTGTCCTTTGAACTGTATAAAGTAACCAACTGTTATGTTTTGTGTCACAGTAATCCACTACATCATTATTGGATAATATAGAAATATAGTGTTGTAACCATCTGCGAATAAAAGCATTGAATAATTTATAACAAAAAAATTATTAAGTAAGAAACAAGACGCGATTGAAATTTCTAAAATAAATGACATTCAGTTGTTGTCATATTATTTCTATAATTTATCAATACATTTGTAACGACAGCGTCCATCAAACAAAATATAATTTAAATAAATTGTTTAGTTCAGTGTCATTATGACATGAGCGAATAAGGAGAGAAATGGACATTTCATAATATATCTTCCCACCGCATTCGTATGCCGCTGTTAGCAATTCGTGTTTTGTTTCCCGGATATTATACATCCCCGAGCAAAATTGGCAAGGCGATATCATATAATCATATATCCGCCCAACTTTTACCATTTTTATGAATAATTTATGGTTTGGAATTTTTTTCTCATAATATAACGATTTATTGATACTGTATATTATTATATACATACCTATATATATATATATATATATATAGACTGGATATGAAGTATTTATGTAGATTATTATGAGGGTTAAAAAAAAAAATATATTATTGAAAAATATGAACCTAATTATTATGTTATTATGTTTTATTTTATGTTATGCGCAAACAACAATATTTAATAGCAAGGGCGAACACCACTGCATTCCGCCTGCGAAAAGGGCCACGTCGACGTGGTCGACTTTTTACTCGGGCACGGCGCAGACATGCTGGCGAAGGACGAAGAACAGAACAGTCCGCTGCACGTGGCCGTCGAAAACAAACAAACGCTCGTTGTGCAAATGTTATTGGAAGCGGGAAATCCGACGAACTTGGAAAATAGCGTAAGAAATAATTCGCTCTTACTTTTTCTATATACATCATCATTATATAATACGATAAACATCGGGCCCGAGATCCGGATCCTATACATAGGTATTATGTACGGTAAGCCTCAATTATGTTGTTGTTCAACCGCTATTACGTGGTAGAATTTTAATTCCCATATTGTGTTTTGTTTAACTATTCACGATGCAACAGTTTCAGTACAATACGGAGTGGATTGTGTGTAATTTAATTTTAGTCGACCTTGCGTGTAGTGCACACTGCACACGCACTTGTAGAACCCAGAGGTTTCTTCAGACGATACTATTATCGATTTTGTTGACATGTCACCTATCGGCTATCATACATCTAATACACCGCGACTTACAGCAGGGTGGACGAATGTTGTCGGACGGGCAATGGGTTTATCGGGGTCTCTGTCGAAGGTACGCCTCCAGATGACGAGGAGAGATTTTGTTTGATTTCTTGGGGTTTTCTATATTCGTCAGTTATCACATACTACCTATCTTTAATACACGTCGGTGCCTATGTTTAATAAAATATGGTTTTATGCAGTGCTGCTACGTGCCACCCAGAAGTTTTAGTTCCCTAAACACCGTCGCCCGGCTTCATCCGAAAAAGAGGATGTGTTTCCAGGTGTCGTGAACTTATTATAATATGTATAAGGTACCTACGCAGTACTCCGTGATAGTCTATCATTTGATCGATAATAAGTTATTGTTATGGCTAAGGTTTCGATTAGCCCCCCCCCCCCCAAAAAAAAAAAATTTATACCGTAATTGTGTACCTACAGTTTCGTACCATTATTCCCAAATATACAACTTATAGCAGCAATTCCCAAACTTTTTTGGCACTTTTTTGAAATTAGGGTTTTATAGATCGTTTTACTCATTATAAGAAATAGAAAAAATAAATAAAAACCAGAACAATTTGTAATGGATATTGTGAAAAGTGTGTTTAATTATAATTATACATAAGTGACATGCAATATGGTTTTTCGTAATTGACATAACTGTAATTACTTCCGTTGCCGCCGCCGTCGGGTTTCAAATTTATTTTTAGACCATATAAAATTCTATGACAGAGGAGAGGCGCCCTTAAAAAGACACCACGAAGCACACTTTGGTAACCGCTGACTTAAGAGGGATATCACAACTCATTTATTTAAAGTTTAATGGTTTTTTATTGTGGTCAAAATAACGAAAAACGTTTAGGTAAAAATCCGGAATTGTAAAAATTATTATTATTTTTGATTGTTTTACATTTCACAAGATTGTCAATTAAAAAGTATCAAATAATAAAAAATTATTGAAAAAATATAGTTTCCTAATTTTGTTTAAATTGTATATTGTTTAAGAAAACATTTATGTAAACTTGTTGTTATTATTTTCATAAAGTAATCAGTGATTTGAACCCCCCCCACCCTTAACTAAATTTATCAACCACGCTTATGACTAATTACCAAGTATCGTGTTCCAATTTTGAACTGTGAACTTCTATTCCGTACATCGCATAAAGCCCTCGAACGCGGTTTCGGTCTATCCACGGTGTGTATGGTATCATGATATTTATTTTTTATTTGAGAGTTCTCACAAACAGCGTATGTAATAAATTCATACGATAATTATTGTTAAAAATGGTAAAAAAAAATATTACCATTGTATTTCAAACATGAAAACTTGTACGATTAATCGACTGTCCCTTGACTTAATATATTATAATATATTGTTATAGTTATAGGTTATAGGTATGTATATCTGCTGGATCCTCGTGACTGTAGAATTTTATTTTCCTCAGCACCGCCGTAACTCGACGTCATATTGTTACCACCGTCCTGTGGGTTTTCGGTGTTGACATTCTCATAGCAGTATAACGCAGAGTGTTGCCCCGAGGACCGTCTTTAAATTATTCTGTCATCCGTTCGAATATAACTCGTTTCGTACCAAACGGGTCAATATCAAAAATTCAAAATATAATACACGATATTTCGACTTGATGCAAAACTCCTAAAATATACTACAAGCCAAGTACGGGGAGCATGGTATTCCCAGACATCGCGTTACATGAACACCAAGAACTTGTAAATTATACGAGTACAATATACATAAAACTTTAAGGTTTTAAGACTTTGAGGAACTTTTCATTCTTTATTTTATGATTTCATTGCATCTCTTGATGACATTCTGTTCTTTGAGTTGTCGAATGTCACAAAATATTATTCCTTGAATTTAATTTCCATAAAAAAAAAACTGCCAGTATAATTGTTTATCATTATTCTGTAAAATAATTGTTTAATATAGGTTTAATAATAGGTAGTTGTATTATGAAAAAAAATAATACAAATTAATCGCAATAATGAATACTAGGTAGGCACATAATATTTTCATTTTTTAAATACCAGCCTCTTACACCCTAAGACATTGTGTGTGTAAAAATAATATATTTTTGTCTCAGTGAATATTAAAAAACTAAAATGTAATCTGTTTATTATTTTACATCAAATTTCCAAGTATTTATACTGTGCAATGGGCACAATGGCCCATATTTGAAAAATGTTTTAGTTCTTTTAAACAATTAGTATAATAAACAATGCAAATTAGAGAGTTTTAATTCGCGTTCTTAATTTTAGTTTAATAAATTAGTCCACCAAGCTTCTTTGAGTGTTACATAAAATAATAAAATATTTTTATTGTGTTTTTAAACACGAACAGAAAAGTAATACAGATTATCTTAGTTACCTATATTTTTTTTAAATAAAAAATGTGTAATATATTGTGAAAACAATTAATACAATATGAGAAATGCTTCTTGTTTATAATTATAATCTACTTTTAAATTATAAATATATCATTCTAATAGTTAGCGCTTTAGTTTAGTTAAACCAAATTTAAAATGTTAACTTAACGTTCAAACATAAAAATGTATATATAAAAAGAGCGATTCACCAAGCATGCTCTTCCACATGCTGTCCTTTAACAATACATTTTTATTTACTGGTTTTTAGATATACTTGAAAATCATAATATTTTTAAGTTCTTGTGATTTATTATACTAATTAATAAGTATCAGGTGTCAATAGAAACTTATGTTTTTCAAATGAGAACCACTGTCCATTATTTAGTACAAAATTTGTTTAAACATATTAATTTACCTATAAATACGTAATTAAAAATTCAAACAAGTAGTTTTTCTGTTATTAAAATGTTTATACCATAGACAATTTATTATTACAGTTAAATACAATTTTATGAAAACATCTAAAATATAATATGTCGTATTGGATCTAGAATTCATTATGCTTGGACCTATCTTTTTAAAAATTGAAAACTATGATAGGTTAATACTAATTTTATTCAAGATGTAATTCTCTATAACCCTTAACTCTTGAAAATCCATAATCATCGACCAATTATCCTTAGTAGGTACACCGAGTTAAATAACTCGAAAACTATTTTGATTTTGTTACTAAATAGTTTTCCATTTTTAGGGCTTCTCTTTTGGAAAACAGAAATTTGTATCTTCACGGGAAACTCCTTATTAGTAGGAACAATCTCAAGAATTTGAAAGTATACTGTTGAACATTTTTAAAAATCACATTTGATTAACTGCGTTATTAAAGGAAAAAATGTAGTGAAATGTCAAAAAATATATAAAATACTTGATGATTCCTTCTGTATTATCATATTTATTATGAATATCATGGTAATGTAAATTGAAAAATATCAATTTGAAATAAAATGTATTAAATTAATTTAATTAATATTTAATTAATATAGTATTAAATGAATTTTTTTTCATCCACCTCTAGTTGTATCATTCTTGACTTACACACAGGTATATCAGTTAATATGCAAACTATTTGTTTTAATTACCATATTATGATGATAAAATGTGCTAATGCTAAAGACATTTTCGATTGAAAGAAAACAGCGGTGTGTATTATAATCTATTATAATCTGTAGTTAAGCCTAAAATACATTAGGAAAATGTTTTCTAAAGAATAAATTGTATAAACTGTTAAGCTTAAATTACATTAGCCTTACAAATGATATGAAGATGTTTTTTTGCAATTTTAGAGCGCCAAATATAATATAGTTAGGCCTACAAATATTGTTTCCATTAAAGATGTTAACCCATTTTTAAAGTATTTTTGATAAATTTTGTGTCATGTGTGATATTAAACATTTTTCACTAGATAATTTATATATGATGCCTTTTAAAAGAAGAGTAAAAGGCAAAACAAAAAAATCCATAAAATGAGTGTGAACCAAAAAGGGAAAAGTCGATAACCTTGTCACATTGAGCCCCCCAGGCTTCAAATTCAACACTGCCATTATTTTAGACTAACCTTTTTATTATATATATATCATTTCATATGGGTGTATATAGTATAGTTTTATTTCTAAACCAAAATGATTGACTGACATTTTGTAAAACATCTATACTTTCTACATTTTTGATTTTCAGGATATCTCTATTTGTTTACACCAGTTTTATTCTAAACAATACATGGTATTTGTGACAATTCATGGATTATGTTTCAACAATGATTTAAGAATATAAAATACATCCTCGTCGAGACAACTTTACTATTAACAAAAATAACACACCACCTTTTACGTTTTTACGTAATAATATATAAATTGTGTATCTTTAATGAAAGTTATGCTGATTATTAAAATGGCATGAGTGCACGACCTCATTAAATGAATGTACATTTCATTGTTTAAGTACCTACCTAAACCTACCTATACAATAGCGCACGCGAAATTAATTTATGAGCATTTATTTAAATTAAATAATAATAAAAAAAATAAAATTATAGTTCTTAATTATTGTTTTTTACATAATATGCATAAACAATATGTCATGCATGATAATTTGGCGATATTAAGTTGTCTGTGGGCTTAAAAATAAAAGTTCGAATTGTATTACATTTATACCTATAGTGTCCTAAATAGGTGCTATAAAATAACTGGATTGAGTAACAGAATAATGATATAAAATATATTATCTACAAACTATATAAGTACTTACATTATTTAAAATTTAAATTAATTTATAATTTTACTGATAATCTCAGATTCAACCCTTTAAGTTCCAACAAATAAATTATCCACAGCTAAAATATTTTTCGCTTAGAAAATTTACACTATACCACAATACCAGATTATATGTTGTACCTTGCTAATATAATATGAGTATTACTTACCATTATATGTTCCGTCGTGTTCTAAGTGTATACTATATAATATTATTTTTAATGAAAGCATAATTGAAACGTTTTTGGACTTATTTAGAAAGGACTGACTGCGTTGCACATAGCCAGCAGCCACGGATGTCGGGGAATAGTGGAAATGTTATTATCAGCCGATTGTGACATCGATAGACAGAGCAAAGTAAATACAACAACTTGAGTGGGATAACGAAATATAAAATCATCGTACTAATGAATAACCGTAAAACAAAATGTTAACAGAACGGAAACACGCCTTTGCACATGGCATGTTTGTCCAACAATGTCGTGATCGCGGAAATACTGATCGCCAAAGGCGCCGATCTCAATGCCTTGAACACGGTAAGTGGTCGGGTCTAATGACGTGGCATTAATGGTGACAGTATCGTTGACATATCATAATATTATTATTATTTCGACTGTGCGACAATATGAATAAAAAATGAAATTATTTTGGCACCTTGCAGAGATTGCAGTCACCAATTCATATAGCGGCCGAACAGGGATATTCGGAAATCTGTAAGCTACTTCTGAGTGCCGGCGCCAATATCGAACAACGCGAACAGGTCAATATTCGTATTTTGTTCTATTAAAATCTCCTAATGACAGTTTTCTTAAACAATTGTTAATACATCGATGTGCCCTAAATATTAAGAGTTATTAACCATAATTTATAAGTGCAATTGAAATCACGAGGTCGTGCTGATTATATTTTATTACTAGGAGTATGTTTTTTTTTTTTTTAAAGTCTAAGGAAAAAACATTGTTAAAAACAATTAAGACTCGATTGAAATCATCTGAAGCGAAGTTTTAAATTGCCAACAAGAAATCTTTTTAATTTTCTTCAACGTTTTAGTCCACAGAAACAAAAATTTAAACAAATCTGTTTGCTCGAAAGTACCATAAAAAACTATTTGTATTTCAATTTAATTTTAATTTTACATCAGAGTACATAGGTACTTTATAAAACATAAGTATGATAAATAAATCAGTATGCTCATGTCATTTTTAATACCATAGGTATAGGTGTATGACAATCACAAATGTAATATGTAATCTATATAATTCGCTCATTTGCTCTTTTTCCTTATTAAAATTATAACAATAAGCATTTTTTTTTTTTTAATGTATCCAAAAGTTTATTAAAAATATGCATATCGACAACATGATATATTATATTATGGGTTCAAGATTAATATTTTATAATTTATGTTCTATAAATGTTTTATGTTAGGGAGGCAAAACGCCGTTATACATAGCAGCTAGAGGAAGTTTCACTGCCATCGTGGACATGATTATAAAAACCGCTCGTTTAGAGTACACACCCAAGGTACTTATACGTCATAAACGAATACCTAAATACAAATATAAAAATACGATCAATTTATTCACACGTCACAGTGAAATCATTAATCGTCGCGATGCACTCAATATTTTATTCTTGAGGGTTAAACTCGTGTTTGTATGTACGTAGAAACGAACTAGACCGAAAACGCCTGAAGAACGAAGGAAATGGAAGTGCAATCCAGACTTGGACGTTTCGATAGCGCTGCAAGAGACTGATGAAAATTTAGAAATCATATTACGAAAATTATCCCACAAACAGCTCAGTCCTGGTGAATGGAAAAAATTGGCTCATTTATGGGCGTTCACTGACGAACAGATCAAAGCGATCGAACACCAGTATATAGGTAATATTTGAGTGTCTTAGATTATTTTAGTTTTAGTATTTTTCTCCATAACTATAATATTATATTAGTATAACAATAATATAAATATATATATTATATATTATTCCGAATGCGAAGTATTTTATTACAACATTGGAAACAAATTTCTTCCCGTAATCGAGCTGCAGTTCTGATAGGGACTTTTCCACGTGTCGATAACTAACATATAAAATACATGACTAGTCGTAGCTACATGCACATTTTATAATATATACACAGTATGGTTTACCTGCAAGCATGATCACCCCTATTTTTTCCTTCAATAATGAATTTCTTAAAATTCTGATTTTCGGAAATTTTTAAATATCCTTAAATAATTTTTTCAAATTCTTGGATTTTGCTGTACTTACTACTTTTTAAGGACTTAAGGAGTGTCCTGTGTGATACAAACTACTGTTTTTCAAATGATAACCCCTTTTTTAACTGTAAATTATTTTGTAAATCATTTTGATGTACCTAATTCAAATTTAGAATGAGTGGTTTCTTAGTCATAACAAGGTTTGTATTAACGATAATAGTTCTTAAAAATAGTTTTACAAAAGTATAAAATATACGATATATTGGAACTAGTATTTATTGACTGAAGTACCTCCGATGGGAGGTCTCTTCATTCAGTCTCTTCTGTCTATTTTTTTGTTTATGTTATTATCAATTAAGCTTATTGTTCAATATTGTAACAGATAGCGTAATAAATAAAATTTTTTTAAAAAAAAAAAAAAAAAAAGTATTTATTGTACTTGGGCCATTTATAACAATTTATTTATACATTTTTTAATGTTTAATATATTAAAGACTAAAATATTCGAATCACCTTGGTGTCTTCATGTCTTATAGACCCATTACTATAATGGCCTTTATCCTTAGAGCACAAAGTTCAATAATTCAAAAGCTAATACGAATATTTTTGATTCAGATTTGCCAAGTTTTTGAGAAAAAAATTAATTTAAAAAGCAGAAGTTTCCATCGCCACAGGACTATCTTAAAGTAATACAAAAAAATCTTAAGTATTTAAAAATACGGTCTTTAAGTAGGTAAACAACTGTATTTTTGAAGAAAAAAGGGGATTGAGCATGCTTGATGAATCACTCGGTGAATATGTATATATCTCACCTTCTCGGTAGAGTTATTATAGAATATTTCACAGGACTTGTAGGTTTATTTTTAGGCTAAGGTTGTGCCCAGCTTATTGCCTGTGTATGGATATTTACAAACTCGAGACGAATTAATATTCACGTAAATTGATACAAATGACCAGGCAGCAAGTAGCAACCATTTCCCCGAACATTCGGCGCATATAATATTACCTATACATTATACAATATTTAAATTTCTTCTGATCACTGCCGGCAACCTATACCGTTTCGTAATGTAATAATATTATATTGTTTAAATGCTTTAACGACATTCATCGAATACGTCAAAATTTTGATTACAGGTCCATCCAGTTACAAACAACACGGTTATAGAGTGTTGAGAATTTGGGTCGATAGTCTGGGCCCTGATCTTGACCCCATAGAAGAACTCATCGATAGTCTCAATACGATCGAAAAAAATACGCTAGCAGGTAACATTATTTTTTTCGATACACATATGTACCCAAAATTATAAGTTATAACAGAAAAACATTTTATGTGGGTAGGTAATAATTATATTATGCATTTCACTGAACAATATTATCGACGGCATTAAACATACGCAAATACGGCGGTGGTGGAGTTCCTTTAAAAATAAAAAAATAAGATGAATCGTTATGGATAAATTGTTATAGACACATAGTATAAAAATCACATTTTTTCTAACAACCTACGGAGCTTACTATTATTTCCACATAATCCATTTTAAATTATTCAATTTTAATTTTCAAAAACCGATTTCGATTGTTTGTTTTATTTTTAGTTTATCAAATCTAAATTCCAAATGGTCTGTCCGATACACTCACGTATATACACGTTGTATGAAGTGTCGATATATTGCATTGTTTATGAGTGCATATATTTTTTTTAGAAATTCCGTATAAATACGACAAATTTAATTAATTCCACACCTAGTAGTATAGTAAACACACACATCCAATATGCATACACTGCAGGTATTCATATTCACGCATACATACTGCATAGTGCATATATATCAGCCATGAAAGTACATGTAATAAATTATTATGAACCTTGATATTTAAGTCCATAATACATTTTTTCTCGTTGAAACATAACATCTGATCAGCTACTATAGCTTCGGGTATATACTGCTCCTACATTCTATTATATTATTCATTTGGACAATGTCCCACGAGTATTTACTAATTTAAAGTACCTACTCGGATAATGGATTTTCCATCGGTGGCCACGCTTTCAAGTTACTAACACTAATAAGAAAGTTCTCGAGAGGCGCTGCAGTGTAAAATAAATAAGTTTAGGTAAACATGTGCAATAATATATTATAGGTATGGTACACACCTCACATTCGTATGACTCGAAAGTTTAACGATTAGTGCAATACGCTGCTGCCTGCTGGATAAAACTTGGACTTTTTTTTCATTAAATGTAAATTAATTGGAATATTATGCAATATGTTTAGCATCGTTAAACGCATTCATACATACTACAATAATCGAATATTGGTGTGTGAAAGGTCCAGTCACTTGATAATACGAATAATTTAAACGTAGGAATAACAATAATGACTATAATAATATATAATTACTGCCGATCAGATTGTGAAAAAAAAAATAATATCAACTACGTTTAATAACGGCTTTAACTATACGCCTGCATCCCTATCAAGCGTCCTTTATACATAACATTAATTTTTTTTTTAACTGAAGAACAAAAAAAAAAAAAAAATTTCCATTAAAATTCCAATTTGATGATCCTTTGATCTACTTCTGGTTAGCTCATGATAGTATGGTTACGAAGAGAATTAAATAAAATGCTAAATGAAGATGGTACACTGATATCGAGTTTTTTTATTGTGGTATACTAAAATATATTGAATGTATAACCATGTGTAGCCATAAATAAATTGGTCCATGGAAATATCACTGCTCTGATGTATTTGACAGAGTGCGATTCTGCACGGCCATCTCGTAAACAGTAATTATTATTAAATTATTCCAAGTTACCGAACACCATCGCCACCACGTACACAAATTGCGTTATAACATAAAGTAAAGACGTGCATAATATTATGATAATATCAATAAGTCAAATATTCAAGATGCCAACCAAATGTTTAAAGGGAAGTTGCATTATAATAAATAATAATTTATGCGTTATAAATAGCGATTGGTATTAATGTAATAATATTGCGATAATGAGTACTTGTTCATTGTCGTCCCTCAACCAAACCATATAAAATGTACCACCCCACCACCGGGTTACATGACGACTTGTACCTTTTATTGTATTTGTATATACTTTTACGAAACTTTCAAATGAAAAGTAAATAATTATAACTATAGGTATATTATTGAACATTAAATATAAATAGTACTCCTAAGCTCTGTCCAGAAAGAGAGCGCGACGTGTGCCTATCGAACCTGGTTCCAACAAGTGACACCTTGCTATAGACGAACCGGTATCGATGTTAGGGTGACACGGAGGGATGCTCAGAACCACCGCGTTCTCTTGGTGCACAGAGTATAATAGTATAGTTAAAAATTACAGTCTTATTAATATATGCAAATAAACATGAATAAAAGTAAAACAATAATTTCCAAACATTTTTTAACATCACACATTTTATATTTTGTTTTAACAATATATTTTTGCTGTAAGCATTAAATGTCAGTACTCATTATCTTAAAATATATGATTCAAATTTGTTTTAAACAAATACCTCAACCTTCAAAGTTAATAACTTTAGTAAATTGGCATTTTAGTTTAAAAACTGCTGGCATAACGTCACTCGGTGGCGTGGCGGTACATTTACAAATACCTATGAAATTATATACCTATTATCCAGTTTTAATTAAAAATTATTATTTTATAGAAGCGATCGATATAAATCAGTGATTTCTTGCATCGATGACAACTTATAATGAAAGCACTGGTGTATGTACATTGGTACCCAATATTATTTTATTTTAAAAATATTATTTAAAATAGTTCTGGTCATTATTTGAACTGATAAACTGTATCGTAATATATAATAGTATAATATAGAGTATAATAGGTAAACATTTTAAATTCAAAATATTTACAATGGTTGCTCGAGTAAGGGGTATGAGACAAGGTGTTAGATATCCACTGCTTGCCATCCGCGGTTATACGGGACTGCTGTTGCTGTAATATATATTATAACGTACCTATCTACAATGAGGTCAGTTCTTAAAATTAATGACCGACGTACATGGGCTCGAAATAATTTTCAATTATCCCGCTAGAATCAGTTGACCATAAAACACGTCATTTGCATAAAAATTCGGTCGGTTTTCGGCTGGAGGGATAATTTATAATAATGTAGAGTAAAATAAATTGTCACAATTTGCATTATTCCGGTTCCGTATTTTTCTGTGTACATTATATAAATATATTTTATTTTTTTGCTTGTTTTTTATTAATATGTGTGTTATGTTCAGATGCAATCTGCAAGAAGTTAATGCGGCAGAAGGAAAAAAGTGAGAAAAAACCCGACGACAAAACCTGTGTAGTTTCTTGAACACACGTCACGTATTATTATTGTTGTTGATTTTCAGTTTTTTATTTGTTTATGTTTCCCCAAACGACTTTATGAACAATAACAGTGGACCCACAATTTTTAAATTGCCCGACGTTTATAATATTTCAGCTCGGGTGTTACATTATATTTGTACCTATGTTATTATTTATTATACTGTTCACTCGATTGTATAGTTTTATCTCCAACTTTTGGTTAAACTGATAATTATTACTTATATTTTGTATGATAATATAATATGTAATACAAGCATATGTGCCACGATTTACAACGAACTGGTGAAAAACATATTAGTAATTGTATGCACATTAATTCCATTTAAATGATAACAATACCGTTGTTGGAATACTATATTATAATAATTATGGTATTTGACGTTTTCAAAAATACTTTTCAGACTTAAGTTGCTCAATCATTTTGTGCGAAAATCTATTATATTATCTATAATTATGTTAACTATCGTTCCCCACATAAATTTGTATATGATATAGCCAGTTAAATATAAACTCAACGAAGAGCTCCAAAATTCTGGTGGCAATTGTGGAGGTAATGATGTTTGTCACTCGTATCGCCTGTTCGTTTCGGATTTCTATCTAGCTGTTGCGAGGAAGAACTGTGTTGATAATAAATTGTGTGCTACTAATTACGATTCTCTGGTATCAATAGAAAACCAACGTTTAATGAGAGTCCATATGCGCCATGTAGGTGGGTGCCCAAATATATAGAGTACGTATAGTATAACTGAGAGTACTTATCGACATTTTTTTTAGCTGAGCAATCTATAAACATTGTGATAAGATTTTGTTAATGACTAAGTAATAATTTTCTTAAAAAAAAAAGTTTTTTATTTAGCAAAATGTAATAAATCGATGAATAATAATATTAATATGGATAAAACAGCAAACAATTAATATATAAAGCAATTGTCAGTTTTAGTATTGTTGATTATAATTCAGATGTATCTGAACTGTTTTTAGAGATTTTCGATACAGTAGTGAATAAATTAACTAATTTATCTGATTGTTTGAATTGAATTCTGATGTTCGAACTCAAAAACAAACTGCTATGTTCAGTGTTATGACGGATATTCAAACAGCCCAGATAAGGATATTTTCCAAAGTGACAATAATATCACTATCATTAAGAATTGATAGTAATAAAGCCTTTACAGTTTTCACACAATTTTTTAATGTTGAGGGGGGGGGGGGGCTTTTTACTAAAAAATTCCAATGATTTTTTCAATTCTTGGCGCTTATGGATGAGAGTATGTCCATCATGTTATGTATTATATTAATAATATAGTTTTGACGATTTTATTAAGTCGCATTGTGATGACGTATACTGTGTGGAAAACGTCACTTGCCCACGACTGCCACATGAGGAAATTTGATTTTGATCTATAGTGAAGTGATTTGTTATTTAAAAAAAACTAACTTTAAAACCAAAAAGGTGATAAAACTGATTTTCAGAAAAAAACACGATACAATTGAACAAGGTCCAGAAATGTGACAAGTGTTATATATATTTTGTCGTTACAATTTTGGCGGCGTTGGCAACTCTTATACAATAGCCTCCTTGAATCTATAGTATACGCCGACCTCACTGCTGGTGCACACCGCGTCAAAAATTTTTTTATTTAATACGAACTCACTATTATTGCTTGGAACTGTGGCTATTGACTTGTAACCAGCTACTGCATGACACAATACCCACCTACATTGTATTCTTGTAACACGAAACTTACAACCAGTCATAACTAATCGAGTAACTTGCTCATCCCTGATTGTACATCAGAAAATATAATATGAACGAAAACATCTTTCAAACACTGATAAAGTTTTAATTGTCACATTTCGTTTCATGTTAAATAAATTATGTTGCAATGTTGCACGTGATATCGTACTCAATCGTATTAGTTTTTTAGGACGGTGGTTAGGTCTTTTGGAACTTAGAGTGTGCTCGATCGAAAAGGTAAAACGTGCTCAATCGTTTGATACCCACGTTATTACACCATGTGATGTTATTATGTTATCGAGCATCTCTAATATGTAGGTACTCGGTATATTATTATAAATTATTACTATAGCATAGCGGCCGTTCTCATTAATACCTACCCGTACGTCTGTATAATATTCAAAATAAATCATGACGTAAAATAATTAATTTTTCACTGCGGTGAAGGTCGAAAACGATTTATCACTAATTCGATTCGTATTGGGGACGTCGTAATAGTAATAATATGTAGATGCCTATTCCGGGAACACGTGACGTGCACGCATAATAGTATTAGAATATTATACATAGGTAGTGGTAATGATTTTAAATACTAGTAGGTAGGTACTATACTTTTTGTATGGTATTTATAAGCAATGGTAGTAGGTACCTGTTGTAGTTATAATACTGTCGAATTAAAATCCACAGCGAATTATGCGTGTTTTACATAATACTTAGTAATGGTACACGTCTTTTCGATCGCTGCATACATTTATCATACTAATATTATTACCCATAATATAATGGCCACGATGCAATAGACGCCACTACGCCAGTATTGGTGATAAAACTTTATATTTTTATAATCATTGGCTACTATTTTTTCAAAATCGAAAACCTACTATAATCAAAAGTAGGTTCCCATCTGTGTATCAGAATATTCCCAAAAGCTTATAATATTTATTGAGAATGTTCATCATTATATTTTTGTGGAATATATTGGTCTTATATACTCGTATATTATACGTAATTAGTCCGGTGTTACAGTACTTACTATTACCTACTGAGAATATTTGTAGTTTAAATTAAGTTTGTTTTGTTTCATTTCAATAAACGAGTCTTGAAAGTTAATAGCAGTGAAGTGTAGGTTGGTTAAAAAAGTTGTGACCTGCAAAGACTTTCAGTGGTAGACCCATAAAAGATGGCAATTTAGTGAATTTGAAATGTCGTCACTTATCCAAATGATAAATTTGTGATTAATTATATGAAACGTAATAATTAATTGAATTGTAACTTTGTTCCCTTTTTAAATAAATAATTATTTTAGAAATTTTAATATTAAATAAATATATTTATTATTGCATCTCTCACGTAGACCCAGTACCTACTTTAAATTTATTTCATCGTATTTCATCGTATTTCATAATTTTAATTTCATATTTCAACCAAAACACCCCCAAAAAAATTTAGTTTTTACAAGTTTATAATATCTAAATACATATAAGTAATAAGTATATAACTAAACTAATTTGAGTAATTATACTTCGCACGTAAGCAAATATGTATATATTTATTACCGTACACTCAAAACAGCAAAACCAACTATTTAATTTTGATAAATATTGAACTATTTTCATAGGCAATACTTAAGTACCGAATAATATTAATCATTAAATAATTACATCAGTTTTTATTGAAATACTTAATACTTTACTATTCGTTTCGATGTTTTCGCGATTTAATCGAGTAATTAGGTATTATAATAAAATATTAGTTGTATTAATGTACAACGTTATAATATTATATTATACATAAAAACATTTATCGGTTTAGACCAGATTGTAATTTTCTCGAATGACAATCTGTCTTAACTTCAAAACATTTCATTTTCTGGTTTTAATAAACATTTTTAAATTTTTAATTCATGCAATTATTTTTTGAACACTCATTGTCTATGGTCTATGATACATTTTACCTCGATTTTTATTTTAAAAAAATTCACTTAACAAGATCAATTTATTAATCGTTATGAATTGTTGAAATAGATGTGAAATTTACATTCCAGGGTTTTGAATCGTTCTCACGTATATCATGGTTATTATATTATAATATTATTTAGACTTATCTTCCATTTATATATAAGTAATTTGTAAATTTTTGTTATTATTTATTGCTATAGTTAATTATTTTTATTAATATTTGTCAAATATTATAGAAAATATGTTTATATATCTGTGTGTAGAAGTTATTTACTTGTATATAAATATAAAAAATATTCTTTAAATTATAAAAATTGTTTTAATCGTTTTAAAATTAAGAATCATTTAATGTTGATAAAATTTTACTTTTTTATGTTATCCGCATTTTGTACAATATTTTGTTTTCTATTGAAATTGTAGGCCTCGATGACTGGGTCGACTGGCTATTATCGTTCTATTTTGTATACCTACAATTGTATTTCTTATATTCAAACAAAAATATAATGATTTAATTATATTTATTAATTGACATTTAGACCTACAATAATAATGATTATCAACAATGAGTACACTTGTAAAGTGCTTTTCAATGTTTAAAGTTTTGATAAAAAAAGTTTAATCATTGTTTGCATTAACTTTGAACTGGGTCGTTTCAGAACACTATAACGAATTAAAATGAATTTAAATCATTTTGCAGTACACTAAATAGTGTATAAATACTGACAGGTACTATAATTGTTATTATTATGTATATTTTTATCCATGCTTTATGGTATATGATTTTCTGTTACTATCATACCTTTCAATACAATATAATATTGCACGTTTATCTGTGACTACAATGCTACACAAATATTGTTATACGGTTGAGATTTTAAGTTAATATATACCACGTGGACGTATCAGAATCATCAAACATTGGTTGCTTCAAAATTATTTAAATATTGTAAGTGTTGAAGGTAAGATAAATATTAATAACATGGTGAATTTTTGTTCAAAGTTTATTGCTACATAATAACGTGCACAATGGACAATAAATTATTTGATGGCTTAAAATCGTACAAAATAATGAGTGAACAAATTATGTAAATATACAGCCATACTTATTGTATCTATATGAACCTGGAAGTTTTGTGCATTAAAGCGAGTAGTTTGGTGTGACTACTATTTACACGGCAATATCTTACGGTTTACACCATATACCTACAATTCAATATATTATTATAATGAATTGGTATAACTATTTCTGTGCGTTAAATACACGATGTATAATATGATGGTTTTTATATAAATTGTAATTTAAGGTTTATTATGATATACTTTTGATGGTTTTCACGGTTTTGAGTACAGTATAGGAAAAACTAAATAATACTATTATATTAAACAGGCGTTATATCCTGTGATAAAATAATAAGTATACCTAACACATATTATATACTTTATTTATACAGGTATAACGAACACTATTTGTTTTATTGTAACTTATCACATATGCATATGTAATTGTTTATTGAGTATTAATGAGTTGATATTAAGTCAAAATGTAATATATAAATCAGGGATTTCATTTACGAAATGTAGATATTTGAGAGCTGAGGTGTGCCATATTTTTTGAACTTTCAGCCAAAATACATTATCAAACATAACACTATCATCAATCACCTTGGACAAATGGACAATATGAAAATAATGACAGAAATGATGTCATATAATATATTCAGTCTTAGGAACAACGTATTTTGGAGGGCATTATTATATATTATAATCATTTATTTAATCGCTTAGGTACATGTTTAATTAACTATTAAATAATAAATAATATATGGTGAATAAGACAATAATATTTAAAAAAAAATATTTTATAAGTTGATCATTAAAATTTAAAAATTGTAAAATATTTTTATTTTTATTACGAGTCACATCCGTACCGATTCAGTGGTGGTAAAAAAACTCCCCGAAACCATTCGACCACCACTGTACTGATTCAATTTATTCTTAAAAGTATTACCTAATTATTTATAAACTCAACGTATAGATTATCATGAGGTTCTCGATAACCATTGCTAACAATTGAATAACAGCTGACTGAAATGTTTTATCTAAACGCGAATTAGCCTAATCAGTTATAGCTGTAAATAATATGACTATAAATTGTACTGGGGATTACATGCGACAAATTACTGATTAGTGATTAGTGATTAGTGACAGTAATGATTAAATTACTTATAATAAGTAATTATGACAATAAGTTATTGTAGATAGTAGCTTACTATGTTAAATGATTATTACTTTATGCCTTTGGGTCGAACGATACCAATTGTATTACTTGTAACTTCTCGTCTTTCACAATCAGCAGCACAATCACTTATAGTGGGGCAAAATACACGACACCCTTCCAAATGGACATTATACATTTCATTTCGAAGCACAACTTACTGTACTTACTGAATTGATCTAAAACGTATGATATATTTTTCCTTAGGGCATACCATTTTTGCTTTATTATTTTATGATATTTTCAGTGTAGGTTGTCATTTGAAAATCAAAGTTGTTAGCGGTTTAATTAAGAAATATAAGAATGAACAATACTAAAAGCTTATAAATTTCGTGGAAATCGTGGATTTGAAATGTTTAAAAATAAGATTTTGAAAAATGTCAATACTTTTCGATATAATGACTGTTGTACGTTAAATTAATCAACCATATTTGTGCATAACAGCAACTGTACAGGCTTGTTTTCATTGTTAAGCCTGTTGCTGGTCTTTTCCTATTTTCAAGCAGTTAAATAAAAAAGTGAAAACTATCAAAAACGCGACAACTATGAAACGTATTCGCTCTTTCAATTTATTTTTTTCAAACTCTACGACTTATCGACGTTTTGAAATATGTTTGTACCTGTAAGCATTTTCGATACACCTGTTAAAACAGTTGATTATCAACAAAGGATTCAAAACGCCCATTCCTATATTATGGGCATTATTGTGTTATTATATATATTATCGTATACTTAATGTCTACAATGTAGTCTCTACATAGTTAACATTTGTTTTTTTGTCTAGAGAATAAATGCTGATTTTTTATCTTTATCTAGATAGTTAAATTATTTTATATCTTTTTTCTTCATCTAGATAATTATTATAGCAATTTATTATCTCTTATCTCTATCTGAATATTCGAAAAATATATTTAAACCACAATGCGGAGTAGTAGAAATTCTACAATTTTCTAAAACTCTCTAAAAATTAAATTCTAGAGACTTCATTGAAAAGTTTTAGAGCAAAACAATTATTAAAATTATTGCGGTCCATTCGCTATTAATTAACAGTTTAATAAAATAGTCTAAACGTTCACAAACACAGCAAAATTATAAACAAAATTGACAAGTTTCAATTGTTTTTTCAAACTCAACGATTTCTCAACATTTCAAGGTAAAAGGTACGGGTATTTTTGACACACCTGTTATAATAGTCAAAACCAAAAGCTCACAAGGCCCATTCAATTGTTCAAAAGAATTATTGTCGTATTTAAATTGTTATGGCAAGGAGCGATCATTCAGCAAAATACGAATATTTTTATTTATTGCAATAATATTATGCAAGTGACGGTATTTATGTGTACTTGCCTACTTAGCAAGTATCGATTTTATTATCTTAAATGCCTCTGACTGATTTGTAGCCCAATCTAACAATTACTATTTGTAAGGCAATGTCTTAAATTTAACACCATTATAATAATATGTTATTCTGTACATTATACTGATCTACATCTATTGTAATAAATATTTCTGTGTATAACACACAAGATATGGCATCATTGTGTTAACTTTAATTTCAGCTTCAATATTATTATGTACTTAATTTTCTTAATTGTATTAATGAGGTATGAATACTATATAGTGAATACTGGCATTGTACTCTTTTTGATAACAGTGTTAATTAAACAATATTTTATATTTTAACTTCAACTTTGTGTTAAGATTGAATTCAATCTTTCCATTTCTAGCTAGGAACATATGAAATATAATATCATGGATGCAAATTCATTTCTTTATCATTCTATTCATGATTAATGACATTTTACGATAAAGTTAAAACTATAAATATATTATTAAATAGGTGCCTTTGGTGATGATTAAAAGGTAAAACATAAATTATTATTAAAAAAGACATTATTTAATAAATGGGTCATTTAAATAATTATTTATTTTGTACGTGATCATAGTACCTATACTTGTCTCTTCATAAATTGAAGTACAAAATATCCATCTTCAACGACATATTTCTCAT